TATTGGTTTAATGTAAGTGGCTATTGTTCGTCCCGAACCCTATTTCTGAACCCTATCCTCGCATCTCCAAGAATTGGATATTGCACCCCTTGGGGGTTGCTGGCACCCCAGGTTGGGAACTACTGCTTTATTTACTTGTTCGCCTATAACCACCTGTTGTCTTACAGAGTTTTGGTACTGTAACGTAACCTAAAAACGAATATTTTAAAACTTTTAAGATTTAATACTGTAAGTAACGTAAATACAACTACCTGTTGTTCTTCAGGCGTTTGGTACTGCAACGCAACCTAAGAACGAATATTCTAAGGTTTAAGACTGTATTAAATAATTAACTAGATAAGTTTGGGGTTGTAATTATCATTTTTCTTCGAATTATAAACAATTTTATTTTTCATAGATTTTGTGTATCGATAATTAGCAGATTTGATATATATAGTTCCCGTTAAATATTTAACGTAACGTACTTAATACTCATAAGAGATCAGATATATTGATATATGTGTTTAGCGTTTAAAGTAGCACAAAAAACAAGTACTTTTATTTTATATATATATTTGATAGTGGTAACAGACTAGGTATCTGTTGCCTTTTATCTTTCTTACTTATAATAAGATGGATATTTTTTATTAACGCTAAGTGTTTAGTGTTTTAAACATTTAAAATGTATTAGAATTTCAAATAGCATGAAATTGAGTTAAATGATACTGTTACGACAGTGGAAGTCACGTGACACTGGTAACACGTGATGAATTTCTCGAATGATCATGGATTATCGGGGAAGGCCGAGTTTGTTTAGGACACCCTCTTTTTTAGTATATAAGCCTAGCAGAGAAAGTCTGCGGGATTGAATGAAGAGATTTCCCGGTAATTTACGATTCCGTTTCGAGATAGTATGTGTTTTGTTATCGAGATTGTGAATCGTTGTGATTTATAGCGTGTATTATAAAAGTAGTTAATTTAAAGTGACGAGAAACGTAGTGATTGTGAAATTACTGTGTACTAAAAGTTTGTATCGAGAAAGAATAAACTGGTTTAATCCAGAAAGGAAAGAATTTTTACCGGAAATTAACAATCAAGCAGATACGCAACAATACTTTAAATTTAGTAGTTAAATTGTACTTTGGAGTTAGCAGTTAAGTGAAAGCCGATATATAGTCAGTTTATGATAGTTACCAACAAGATCTATACACACAGTTTTCTTTTTTTAATACAAATGTATTTTAATACACAAACAATAATACTATTTACAATAACAGTTATTAGAAACACTGATGTTTATACAAAAATTTTACAAACTTACAAGCAATATAAAGTCTTCTTTCTAATCTGGAACTTCCTTGATATCTTATCGAAGGTTCACGATGAGCGAGTTAATTACGAGTTGATGTAGGTACAATTCGCTTAAAGGAGAGCTTTGTCTTCCGTTATTCACCAGCCACACACATGCCGAGTTTTCCACTCTGAAGTTATATAATGTTTTTGTAAAAATACTACTGTCCGATAAGAATCCGCTGAACTTAAATGATTTGTAATGTTCAAATTTTATAAATGCTCCTAGTCAAATATCTGAAGTTTTACGATTGATAAGCGTTATAACATTCATAGTTATAGCTTCCTAATTTTATAGCACACTGACTATAGCAAACTAATAGATACTCTTTTTTGGCACGGCACGTTGGTTATATTTATAGGTGTGTGGAGAGTTTCTCGAAAATTCATATTAGGTAACAATACTAACACTCTACACTAGAGTTTACGTACACACGTATATTGTTGATTCTTACACTCAAGAATCTTCTACAACTTTAGAGAACAGGCGGGAGTTTCGCAATACATATTTAACAATGTAAGTTATATACATTTGTAAATATAAATTTAATTCAAGCAAACATCGATATTAAAATAAATATATAATAATAAATCCATCACATCAGCAATTATGTATGCGCCTTACTATTTATTAACTCTGTAGGTATTTAGTCTTCTTTGTAGTAAAAGTTGAATGTATTGTTTTTAATAATTGTTCTCTAACAACTGAAATACTATTAGTTTTCTAGATGGTCAGCCTCTGAGAAGTAACAAAAAAGCGCATCTTTAGTACACTGGGTGTTTACTTTCTAACTTGTATACATTGGGATATCACGAGCTATTGAGGTGTTTAGTGTTATCAGTAACCAACTGCACATATCTTATTCTGTGCAATTGTATATTTTTTAAGTTGTGTCAGATCGAATAGTTTGCTTTATCCATGTGTTTAATTATCTTATTTATTAACAGAGTACATACATATCTGCAGCTTCCTATCTGTTTAGTTGTCTTATTATAAACAATTATATTTAATTCTGTTAACAGTGAGAGTTCGAATTAATGCCATATTAAATATTCAAAGTTCTGTTACGTCTCTGGTCGTTAGTTTGTTAATTTTCCGTAAAAATTCTTTCCGAAGAAACTTTAGCGATACAAATCCTTTCTTAAATAAAACTAGTTTATTCTTTCTCAATACAACTTTGAAATTCACTTAATTTCCACAGTCACGCTGTAGCAAACGGTATAATTCACAATGAACGACTCACGCGCCCGACTCAATTGTCCGTCTCTATCTCTGTCTGCAATTCAATTACATTTCATTGTTGCCGTCACTTCTTGGCGGTCTTAAATACATGAATACCGCATATATAATAAACACTCGAGCATTCACGTGTTACTAGCGTCACGTGACCCCCGCTGTCGTAACAGTTCTATAAATGATTATATTTATTATATTCTCATCTGTAAGAAATCATATTAAGTCTTAAATGTTTGGAGTTATAATTACTACTGTAATAAATACATTTAATACTGAAACGATGTTTAATGTTGTAGACATTACTAGAACAAAGGTTTGATACTGTACATTTTATTAATCTCAACTGTCAAATATCTGGTACTATGTTTATATATAGTTTGCTGATGTAAAGATTCAAGACGTAGCCATATTTAGTTATGTAGCAGCTTCAAGCTGATATCACTACTTAATATTGTCGATAATAAAATAATGTATGCAAACACCAGCCATATTTAGTTCTGACGTAGCTTCATCTTGATAAAACTACTAATTTTGTGGACAATGAAACAATGTTTTCAAACAATGGCCATATTTAATTCTGTACCAGTTTCATGGTGATATCATTACTTAATATTGTCGATAATGAAATAACGTTTTCAAACAACGACCATATTTAGTTCTGTAGCAGTTCTATTCTTATACATTACTCAATCTTGTCGATAATGAAACAATGTATTTACAGGAGCAGGTTGTACACAACGTTTTGATCCCTGCTATCCCATCCCATGTGAGAATGGTGGAACATGTTGGCCTAGTCTTGACTTGTTCTTCTGCTCTTGTTTACCTGGTTATACAGGAGACACATGCGAAGGTTTGTTTTACTTCTAGTCTTAGGAGGAGGAGTTATATTTCATTCTAATTTTAAGGTAAGCTTAACTCTGTTTCTTTAAATTGAGGTTGAAGTCTGAAATCTTCAGAATATCGTAATCAGTGAGTATTTTGTATAACTATAAAGCTAATACTGTTCAATGTTTTTGTGTTTCAAGCAGTGACTTACGTACCGCCATCTCATAGCTTCGCTTCTTGTAAAATTATTCCATTAACTCTAACAAGACCAGCGCTCGAGAACCTCTCGGGTATTGAATGCACACCTGCGTACTCGATTTGAAACTCTAAATCAGTAGACGTAAATAATAATGATAGCTCTATATCACGAGTCATTTATTCAGTGTAATCTCTAAACCTTGTGATGCCACTTAAGCCTAGCGAAACGTCGTGTTAAAACTTAAATGAAAAATGGTTTTTACACTTATTTATAAGTAAATAAATAACAATTTAATTTGACAAGTTTTGTTCTATAAATTATTTAAGTCATTCGAATAAAAAAAATTAAACTTTCCTTTATATTGTTA